GGGGGGCCTCGGGATGGCTGGAAAATGGAGTTGGAGGGGGTGGGGGAGGGCAGACAGGAAGAGGATCGCGACCTGGAGCCCGGATCTGGGCGGGAAGGGTGTCTTCGGAGATGTAATCCGCGCGGGCAGATAAAGACAGGAGCGAGCTGCCCTGGCCCAGCTAAAACCGTGGCCTCTGGGGAGACGCGCCGGGAAACGGGGTGCGCCGGGAAGCTGGGTGCACCGGCGCTGCGCCTCTGCGCTTCTCGCAATTCCAGGTGCTTGTGCGGCCACGTCTGCCTCTGGGCCAGGTTCAGGCCACGGAAAGAGGAGCCTGGGGGGCTCCCGGACGAAAACGGGTGTCTGTGTGTGAAAGAGGGGACTGACTTTCGGGGAATCGCTCTGACTGGGGGGCGGGGTGGAGAAGGGGGGGAGGAGATCCTCGACCCTCCGCTCCTAAAGACCGGAGGTGGGCGGGCCCTAGGTGACTCTTGGTATAGTTTCCGTTGTTTCTTATCGTGCGAGGCTACTGTCCCCATAGATCTTTGGGGGGCGGTGATCGTCTTGATTTCTTGTCTTCGGAGACCCCTAGATGTTTCTGCTCACCCTTTCCCCCGACCCCCACCACCCCCATCCCAGTTTCTTTGCCATTTAAAGAACACTACGGCCACGACCCTGCCTGTCTCCAGAGTTGGGAGCCAAAAGGGTGGCCTTATTTGGGGTGGGACAACTTCCCTCCCAGGCAGAAAAGACGGGATCTTGGTGGGAGCCGGCAGATACAGGAATTCAGTGCGGGGACCCTTTGGGGGGAGTTTGGGATTAAAGGGGCCCCAGACTGGACTTGTTCTGGTTTTCCCGGAAAAGGGGAAAAGTTAATTCGACCGGGTGCAGAAAAGGGCTCAATTCGTTTGTGTCCTTTGGCTCTGAGTCTCAGGCGTTGGGCGCGAGTCAACTCTGAAGGACAAAGGGAGGAACCTGGAGAGATAATTCTTTCTGGGAGTGGTGGAATGAGGGGCTGAAATATTCGGATAATATCCTCTTCTCTTCCGTTCTCGTTTCACAATAGATTACGACATTATTAAGTCATGAAATCCTTACTAAGTCATGAGATCGTAGTTGTTGCAGTGAATAGAATGTTTTTCCCAAGGAATTGAATGGACTTCAAACCCTTAACTAAATTCCAGGGCGTATTAATAACATAGAAAGGACCAAATACACAGCAGTTAACATTTTGCTGTTGAGGAAACTAAGGAAGGAATAAATAACGGTCACAAAATATGCTGTGGATGGCAAAGAAATGAAGGTTGGTTAGATTCCCAATACAACTGCAATTGCTTTTTGAACCTCTGGGCCATTAATCTGTGAAGGGAAGGGCTTGCTCAGTCATTGGCACTGCATATTGCTCTGCATATAAACACAAAACTTCCTGTGGGTCACCTCAGATCCTTCACAGGAGAAAGCAGGGTAGGGTGTAAGTGAGTAAACTGGAACTGAATCCCCAGTCTGTGGTCTTCCTTAGGTTCAGACTTTGAAAGGCCAACAGCGTAGGGTAGAGAGAAAGTGCTGGCCCGGCTGTACCCTCATTCTGCTGCTGTCTGGCAGGAATGCTTAGCATGTACCCAGCAAGTTGCACTGACCTTCCAGTGCCTTCTGTGCAAGGTTCCGCCAGCTCCAGGTGGTGGTTGTGGTCGTGAGCCTCTAGTGTGAGAAACGTGGAAAGACTATTTAAGTATAAGATATAATTACATGAGAATGACTTTTGGGGAAGCACCCTTTACATTTCCTTCTTCACATACGCCCAAGTAATCCCTCATTTTTCCACAAATCAACTTCTCCTGTTTCCTAATATTGTCTCACTCCTGTCTTAACCATTTGAACTCCGTCTTCTGCTAAACACCTAATGAGGTTTCTCGCTCTATGGTCATCAGGGAGCTCCCTTGCTAAATCCAAATGAAACTTTTGGTTCTTTGTACAATCCCACCTTGTAAACTGTGCCTTTATTCTTAAAATTCAGGTTTTTGGTTTTTTTTTAATCTTTCTGACCACTCAGAATAGGACTCCCTACCTAGTTTCTTTTTCTCCACTCTTTTTTCATTGCAATAAAGAAAGAGATAACATGAGATCTACCCTCTTACACATTTTTGAGTGTACAGTACAGCATTGTTAATTATAAGCACAGTGTTGCATGGCAGATCCCTAGAACTTTTCCATTTTGTATAACTAAACCTATTTTTTTGAGGGAAGCCCTCCAAAACAGAATTATCTTTTGGAGGGCAGGCCCCTTGTAGTACAGTCTCCCCTACAACCCTAGGTAATTGTTCTGGGAATCTGTCAGTTTTTATCTGAAGTTTTGAGACTTGCATCATGATTTGCAGAAGAAACGTCCCTAGTTGTGGCAAATAGGTGACTGATTCTTCCACTATGACAAGGCACCTGCCCACACCGTGCCAAGTGTTCAGCAGTTTTTGACCCAAAACAGCATGATCCCCATGCCCCAGCCTCCCTATTAACCTGATCTCACCTGAGCGGCTTTTTTTTGTTTCCCCATGAAAAAGTCCTCAAAGGGAAATGTTTTGCCAGTATGAAAGAAGTGAAACAAAAAATGGCAGAAACACCAAAAGTCATCCAAATTGATGGGTTCAAAAGCTGTTTTGAGCAGTGGAAGAAGCATTGCAATAGCTGTATTGCATCAAATGGAGAGTACTGTGAAGGTGACTGAAGTTTAAACATGTAAGAATAAATACACAATTTTTCATAATTCCGGTTTTGAGGGGTCCTTCCTCATATTCATTAAACAGCAAATCTCCATTTATCTTACCCCTCATTCCCTGGCAACCACCATTCTATTTTCTGTTTCTATGAGCTTGACCACTTTTTCCTCCTTTCTTAAATGCTGGTGTTCCTTACAGCTCTATTCTAGGTCCTGTCCCTTGGAACTTACACCCTTTTCTTAGGTCATTTTGTCCACTTTTATAGCTTGAAGTCTCACATAGATGTCAACACAGCCTAAATTAATATTGCTAGTTCAGATGTCTTCATTGAACAATAGGCCTTTGTATCTCTCTACCTACATATGTGACACAGCATTTATTATCTTCCCAAACAATGTTGTTTTGTTTGAGCATACTGTATTTCAATATATGGCACTATCATATGTCTTTTCCTCAAGTAGGAAGTATGAAAACTGTTTGTTATTCCTTTGTCACTGCTCCCTTCCCTAATCACGAAGTCCCATTAAATATACATTCGATTATTTCTCAAGGATCTGTTTACATATATCTATCACTTCTGCTATTTTTGCTATTACAAATAATGTCACAATGAATGAACTTGGATATATGTCACTTCATATATGGGCAGGTATTTCAGTGGACTAGATTGCCAGTAATGGGATTGGCACATAAAAGTGTAAACGACTCTTTAATTTGTGTGGATATTGTCTTCCTTCGATTAAGGTTTTATATGATTAGACAGAAAACTATTTTATGTTGGATGACACATCACATCATTGGGAATATTTATATTAGTGTAGGATATTATTGAATAAGAATGACTTTAAGAATACTTGAGCTAGGCAGTAAATTTGCCAAATGATAAATTTGAATCCATGCTTCTTGCAGAACACCACAGAAAATGCCAAACAGATGAAAGATTTAAATATGAAATATGATATCATACAGATAATAGAAGGAAACGATGAATTCCTATGTAGATTTGAAGTCAAGAAGGCCTACTTATGACTCGGATTTAAAAAGCCTATTTATTTATTTATTTATTATTTCTTTATTTGAGTTGGAGTGTCACTCTGTCGCCCAGACTGGAGTGCAGTGGCATGCTCCCGGCCACTGCAGCCTCAACCTGCTAGGCGCCGGCGATCCTTCCGCCTCAGCCTTCCAAGTAGCCGGAACTACAGGCACACACTACCTTGCCCGGCTAGTTTTTGATTTATTGTAGAGACAAGGTCTCGCCAAGATGCCTGGATGAGTCTCAAACCCGCGGGCTCAGGCAATCCAGTCGCCTCAGCCTCCCAAAGTGCTGGGATTACAGGCTGAGCCACCGAGCCCAGCCAAAAAAAAGCCAATTTATTAAAATTGAGAAAATCAATTATATAAAAGCACACATGCACATACTAATTCATGGCAAAAAAAAAGTCAAATCAATAAGTAAAGTCAAAAGGTATTGATAAACTGGAAAAATATTTGTAGATCATATTTTAAAAGGCTAATCTAATGTATAAAGAGCTCTTAAAATCAGGAAGAAAAGTCCAACATGAACGTGGACATGAAAAAACCCCAAGTAGTAATAAAATAGCCCTTAAAATACAAAAATATGTCAACCTTATTCATAATAAGCAAAGTTGAATTTGAAACTGTGGTGAAATATTATTCCACACTTGGCAAACATTCAAAAGTTTGATAACATGCTGTATAGGTAAGAATGTGGGTAAACAAGCACTCATTAATTGCTGGTAGATAGAACAAAAGTTACAAGCTTTAGGTACTGTATCCAGTCATACTAAATGAAATAGAAATTGTTTATACCTCTTCTTTCCCAATTTCCATGCATCTAATATCTGTCTATTCATATGCAATATTCAGATTTTATAGAATTTTTTATATCTGCTAGAGTTGATATCCTTTCATTGCTCTTTTTTATAATTTTTTGTCTATTCTTAATTTTCCTTATGACTTTTTTCAAAGGGTGGTTGGAGTCTCACTCCGTTGCCCAGGTTGGAGTGCAGTAGCACGCTCACGGCCACTGCAGCCTCGACGTGCTGGGCTCAGGCTATCCTTTTACCTCAACCTTCCAAGTAGCTGAAAATACAGGCATGCGCCACCAGGCCTGACTGATTTTTTGATTTACTGTAGAGATGAGGTCTTGCCAATTTGCCCAGGCTAGTCTCGAACCTCTGGGTTCAGGCAATCCTCTCGCCTTGGCCTCCCAAAGTGCTGGTTTTATAGTGTGAACCACCGTGCCTAACCCTTCTTATGACCTTTTGAATCAGTTTATTTAGTGCCACAAAAAAATTCTATTGGAATTTTTATTGCTATCATAAAATTTGTAATTTAACTTAGTAAGGATATGTCTATATCTCTATCTAGCTAGCTAATCTATTTATCTATCTATCTTTCTGTCTGGTTTATTCTTATCTTTCTTTTTGTGCAAATCTACTTTGTGTTCTGCAGAAATGTTTTTAGGTTTTTCTCAAATAGACTTTGCATGTTCCTTGTTAAATTTACTCCTTGGCATTCTAACTTTTTATTGCTCTGGAAAATTATTTTTTCTGTTATCTAACTGGTTTTGTTTATGGGTATGAAGACTAATTATTTCTATATTTTAATAGTTATTTCTGTTCCTTTACTGAAGTCTTTTATTGTTTTATGGTAATTTGCTGGTTGATATGCTTGAGTTTTCCAGGTAATCAGTTATATCAAATGCAAATAGAAGTGTTCTTACCTCTTCCGTGTCAATTCATATACCATCTAATGTCTTCCTCTTGCTATGATATCTTCAGTGTAATGCATACTACACGTGATGACCTTGGAAAGCGTATCTTGTTTCTGAGTTTAGTGGAGAGACGCTTCTGGTGCTTTCCCACTGGTACTGTGATTATAATATATAAAAATCATATTGCAAAAGTACTTATTAATTCTTATTTTTGAGGCTTTAAAAAACCAAAAATGGTTATTGAATTTGATCAAATATCTTTTAGCATCTGTGGTGGTGATCATATGTTGGTCTTTACACTTGCTCGTGGCTTGAGGTTTCTAGACTGAGCAAATGATGTGAATGGGGACCACAAATCCATGCAAAGGCCAGTTTACTTTTGACTGAGACTTATGAGGGTTGAGCATTTTGGAGTCCCAGATTAATGTGGAGTGGGTCTTCCTGGGTCTTAGGTGGGCTCCTTGCTTTGATTTCACACTCCTCTACAGAAGCCAACAAAGTAGAGTCAGATTTTTGCAGGTCAGAAGTCATTTCTGGGTTCCTCTTACCTCTCTGTGTTCCAGCTTTATCTTTAGTTTTTGCCTGTCAGTTCCTTGCTATTTTGTTAGTTCTTTGTTGCTTTAGGAGGTTTAAAAAATATCTTATCTGTCATTTTTATTTAGCTTTGGCATGGGGTTCTCGCATTGCTTAACCTGCCATTGTTGGAAATGAAAGTTGTTTCCCCTTGATTCATTCTCCTCACTGGTCAGACTTATCACATTCAAACATAAAATTGCTTGTGTAATTTATTTGCTTAAGATATTTGGTTTCTTAATATCTTTAGAGAAAATGATTCATATACTTTGTTAACGCTGTTCAGATTCTACCCTACACTTCTCTGAATTCATTTTAAACTCCTGTCCCCCTTGTGCTACACACACCCACTATTCCAGGTTTCTTCTTCAGGTCTGTGTCATGTCTGGGGCTTCCAACGTGCCATTCTTTTGTTTGAACGTTTAAATTCTGCCTCCTCTTAAGGTGACTGACTTGTAGCCACTCTTAGGTGCTCTCTCCTGACTCTTAGAAGAGCCTTGTTCCCCCTGCTCTCTCCCATGGCGTCCAGTGCGCCTCTGCCATTACATTTTTCCAATGTTATTGAAATTAAAATATGTTTTATCCTTGGTTTGTTTCATGAGGATCATGCTTACTGCTCTGTTTCTGGGACATAGTACACATTCAGTAAATATTTATTGACTGCATGAATGAATGAATGTCCAGAAAACCATTATCCAAAGAATTGTCACTTTCTCCACCATTATTCACCTTAGCCTGAGTCACCACATCCGTCTCTTAGATTCCTGCCGTAGCCCTGTTTGGTTCTTGCCTTCCACGTTTGCTCCTCTATAGACTGTTCTCTTCATTCTAGCTGAGTGATTCTGTGCAAAGATCAGATTATGCCCCTCCACCGCTTCTTCGCCATGCTGCGGTTTCTCTTTGCATGTAGAAATAAAATCTGCACTCCTCACTATGGCCCTTTACACCCTACATGATATGCCCTTGACTGTCCTTTTGTTTTCAACTCTTGTCACTCTTCTCTCATTGTGCTCTACTACTATGACTTCCTTGTTCCTTCAATGCACCAAGTGAAGTCTCCTTCCAGCGTCTTTATTTTAGTTCATGCTCTGTCTTGGAAAACTTTTCATTCTTACTTCATTTAGGCTATGACCTTTTTGTCACTCTCTCTCCCTGCTTTATTTTTTTTTTTGAGTTGGAGTCTCACTCTGTTGCCCAGACTGGAGTGCAGTGGCCGCTCCCGGCCACTGCAGCCTCGACCTGCTGGGCTTCGGTGATCTTTCCGCCTCAGCCTTCCAAGTAGCCGGAATTACAGGCCTGCACTACCATGCCCGGCTGATTTTTTTTGATCTATTGTAGAGATGAGGTCTTGCTGCCCAGGCGGGTCTCGAACCCACAGGCTCAGGCAATCCACTCACCTCAGCCTCCCAAAGGCGCAGGATTACAGGCTGAGCCACCGAGCCCGGCTCCCTGCTTTATTTTTATCATAATATTTATTCTCACTGTCTCAGCATTATGTGATGTTTGTTCATTCATATTTTAATTTTTGTTTCTCTTTACAATGTAATCTTTGTGAGGTTAAGGTCTTTGCTTTATTTTCTGCCTGGAGTCTGCTTGCTTCCTTGTAAGCAGCCAGTAAATGTTGGTTGAGTGAGTAAGTGAGGTATTCTTTCAGTCACCTTGAGCTGGAATCCTCACAATCATCTAATTTCACTCCTTTTCTCTCCTGACTATGCAGCTAATGAAAATTCGGTTCATCTTTCCATTTTCAATTCAGATGAAGTTTTTTCATTGTGTACATTCCGAATATCCAAATGAAAATATCTCTGCCTTATTTGATCTTTCATGTATAATTTAGATTGGATAATTTCAGGTTCTTTAATATATATTGGAAAGAAAAAGTTTCATCCAAATTTTGATTATTCTAGGTTGTGTTTATAGATTTTTAAAATAACAGTTAAATGTTAGTTAGATATCTTGCTTTTGGTCAAAGGTGTTTGCAAAACAATAGAGCAATAGAACAATAGCAACAGAATGTGAAAATATCAGAAGCATTTCTTGTAAAGTATTAGAAGAGTTAGATTTCAATGTGTTCAAATATATGCTGTACTGAAATTGGTTTACCACTAGTCACTAAATCATTTAAAAATTTTTAAGTGAACTATTTTCTAAAATGACTTTAACTTTCATGAGTGAGAAAATGCACCTGCAAAATAAGTTCATGTTTCAAGGTTATGTGCTTGTTTGTGTAGGCTAATACATAAATACCCTCCAGATAACTCTGTGGCAATAAGTTCATGCTTCTCTTTAGGATGTTACTGGTTTGGTGCCATAGCTCATAGGCAGCTAAACATTTATTGAAACAATTGGCTGCTTCACTGAATTTGTTTTTGTTTCTTTTTCCTGTTTTCACACCTGTGAACACCTCTTGGCTGTTAGATTCTCACTGTACCCACTGTTAGTCAGTGCAGTTATTATTGCATCCATTTTACAGCATAGGAAACACAGCCCAATAGGGTACATAATTCTCCGCATATACATGCTTTTTGGAGGGAACTGTGACTCAGTTTATTGTTTTATTCTTCATCTAGATATACGTTTTTTCTGGTTTCTTAGTCCAGAATATGTTTTATTTTATTTGCTGGCTATATAAGCTGATTCATACAAATAAATTTTATCTATTTACCTTATGAGCATTTAATTAAATATACATTTAAGTAATATAGTCAATCAATACATATTATTTGCATATGAATATTAAATATATATTTGTGTGCTTAGAAGAATATATATTTATTTTATATATAATAAGTGTGTGCATTTATTATATATAAACCACACAGTAAAAGGATCTTTTTATGTATAATATTGATTTGGTTTTTAAAATTTTTTAGATCTTAACGTTTGCCAGTGATGCCTGCAAAAATGTGACGCTCCGTGTTCCCTCCAAATTAGATGCTGAGAAATTTATTGGTAGAGGTAAGAAACTGCAAAAATAAATCCTAATCTGTTAAGAGCTTTTAAAAATTAGTATAAGTTTTAGAATGATAATTGTGTTGGGACTAATAGTTAAAACTGGGTTGTACATTATTTGTAATACATGAACTGTCATTCCAATGAAAGAAATATTGTTCTTTATTGAAAAGCATGATTCTATAAAGTAGATAAAAAGTTTTAGTTTGAGTAATAAAGTAATTATTAATATTTACATTAGAAGAAGGAAAAGAAGCATCTATATACTTCTAAAAATTGAGAAGTAGTATGAAAACCATTTCTTGAGTTTACAGGTATTGTTTTTTGGGTTTTCATCCTATACATTTTTGACTTTTTTTTTTTTGGCATTTACTTTCACATACTGTTTTTTATTCATTGCATTTTTCCCACTTAAGTGTATAAAAAATGATCAAACCAATAAGAACACAAAATATGATGATTATTTAGCAATAGCTATAAACAGTTTAGTAATATTTTAACTGATAACAGTTGATTTTAATTTGCTAGATTCTGTTTAATGTATTTCAAGTGTTCTTATGTGTTAGCCTATAGCTAATTTCAGTTACTAAAGAGAATCTTTTTCTGATGTTGGTTTAAATATTCAAACACCAGTGTTCAGAAGTCTTTACTTCAGGGTAAATGTCTCTTTAAGAAGATGTGGAGACTCTAATGAAGTGATGCATGTGTTTAAGCACAACTTAATTAATCATCTAGTTTCACATATCCTTTCAAAATTGCTAAATTTGTAAGTATCTGTATAATTACTTTTACATTTTTAGTTCCCCCCATATGCATAGGTTACTGTTAAAACTGCAAACTGTTATGTTTTACTTTGCACATGATTGCTATATGTATTTTCTACAGTTGACCTGGAAGAGTGCTTCAAATCTGCAAATCAAATTTATTCAACTGATCCTGATTTCCAGATTTTAAAAGATGGCTCAGTTTATACAACAAATGCTATTCTTTTGTCCTCGGAGAAGAGAAGTTTTACCATATTACTTTTCAACACTGAGAACCAAGAAGAGAATAAAATAGTTGTCCTTTTAGAGCATCAAACAAAGGTATACAAGACAATCTAAATGAGGTATAGTGGTGTCTTTTCTTTAGAAGTAACTGACATTACCAGGAAAGATGTGGAATCAGAAGGGTATGATATAATTTGACTTGAAGAAGAATGAAAACCATAAGACAACTTAATAGTGTTTGAAAGGAAAAAGGGTTGTACAACATAGGTCATTATAGATTGTCATTCCTCTTTTTGGGGGGACATAAAAGGAGAAATTGGGATATGTCACATCATGAAAACTTGAACTTAGACACAAAGAAGCTTTCCTTGATTTTATTGTAGAACGGATTTCTGAAAACAAGTTTTAAAACTCTATCATTGGATTAAAAAAAACCAAACTTTTTCCACACGTATTTTATCATAATTTGTAATATAAGAGAACAGATGGCCATTTAGGAGGAAGTTTAGACCACATATATGCTTATTTTATTGTGACAGTCAAGATCCAAATGACTTCTCTTCAACCATTGGCCATTCCTCACTGCAGTAGTTTGAGAGTTGTCTCCTTGTTTCTCTCCTCGTTCTGACACAGATCTCTCTGTTGGTCTCCTGGCTCTGCCTAGTTGCTGGTGAGTGGAAGATGTTTGTGCTAAATTTAGAAGGGTACACATCACTTATCTTCTTTGCATATCTCTCATCCCATGGTTTTGCATGGCAGTGTGGCAACAGTAATTTTTTTTTTTTCAGTTTTGCTTCTAGGCTTCCAACTCCATCTTTCTTTCTTCCATGTTTCCACCAAGTTATTTTCTTAAGAGGATTGCTGTGATAACAGTTAGGGTAGTTATTTTTTCATTCCTTTTTGCAGTGTTGATGTTTAGTTTGGTTTTCAAGCACTACTGTGGTCTTATACTTCTCCAGCTAATTCTCATGAGAGGAGAAAGACATATTGGAGTTCTAATGTTTAAGAATAAAGTGGTCACTAACTTGATTGTTATTTTTCTTTCTTCTAAATCAAGGTACTAAAGAAAAGGCATTCTAAAGAAAATGTTCTAAGACGTTCCAAGAGAAGATGGGCTCCTATTCCTTGTTCCATGCTAGAAAATTCCTTGGGTCCTTTCCCTCTTTTACTTCAACAGGTACGGTTTACCTTCATTCCGTTGTGGAAGTCTATGGTTTCCATCTTTTTAAAATTTTGATGCTGAGTAAGCAGTTATTTAAAAATAGTTGTGAGCCTGGGCAACATAGTAAGACCTTGTTGCTATTGAAACAAATGAAAAAATGAGTGGCATGTGATGATATGTGCCTGTAGTCCTAGCTCCTCAGAAGGCTGAGGTGGGAGGATCTCCTGAGCCCAAGCAGGTCAAGGCTGCGGTGAGCCTGATCATGCCACTACACTCCAGTCTGGGCGACAGAGTGAGATTTTGACTCAAAAAATAAAATAAAATAAAATAAGAAAAGAATAGTTACGTATGAACATAAGAGTAAATGAGTATGCGTATCATAAGTTTTAGTATATGAATATAAATACACCCTTATACCTGTGTACACTTTTGTTCAACTTTTGTCATGTGAAGGCCATTATGAAATAGTAAAACCCATCTAGCTTTGTCAAACACATGGTTTCTTAATTAGTCTCAGTCTATACAACAAATGCTATTCTTTTGTCCTTGGAGATGAGAAGTCTTACCATATTACTTTCCAACACTGAGAACCAAGAAGAGAAGAAAATAGTTGTTATTTTAGAGCATCAAACAAAGATATCAGTAGGAATATTTCAGAGCCTGGACATAGCTTAGAAAATGTCAAAATAAGCCAGGCGTGATGGTTCACGCCTGTAATCCCTGCACTTTGGGAGATAGAGGCTAGAGGATTGCCTGAGCCCAGGGGTTTGAGACCAGCCTGGGCAACTTGGTGCGACCTTGTCTCTACAATAAATCAAAAAATTAACTGGGCGTGGTGGTACATGCCTGTAATTCCAGCTACTTGGAAGGCTGAGGTGGAAGGATCGCCTGAGCCCAGCAGGTCGAGGCTGCAGTGCTTGTGAGCATGCCACTGCACTTCAACTTGGGTAATAGAGCGACACTCCAACTCAGAAAAAGAAGAAAATCCTCAAATATCTTCCACAATAAAACATAAAATTGCTGATAAAAGACTAAATGCCATGAAGAAAGAAGACACATAGGCTTTTCTATTGCTTGGTCTCAAATCCACATCTGGAATTATACTGCACCCACCTTTTTCTTTCTTTTTTATCTTTTAGTGGAAACCTTGACAACTCTTTATGCCTTCTTCCACTCTGAGTGGCTACTGCCATTCGGTCTATGACCTGAATTTCTTTTCCCTTGAAATGGTGAGGGAGAATTGTTTTTTACACCCTATCAACATATGTAAAGTGACTGAGAGAACAGCATACTGAAATTGAGAAATAAATTGTCAGAAAATAATTTTATTAGTCATCCTGATATAAAAATAGTCAAGATCTTACTTAGAGGATAAATACAACTTGGAGGAAATTTACTTTTTGAATCACGGATCAGAATATCACAACTGCCAGCATGTTATTCAATTTCTATTCTCATTTTTTAAAAAAAATTTAATTCCTATAATAAGGAAGATGCTGACAAATAACAAGATCTCATTAAGGAAAGTGTTTTTCAGGTTTTTGCCTTGCAAGCAGTATAATTAAAACCAATGTCTTAAATATTACGTCACACACAATTAAAAACTCATTTTAAAAAAATGACAATAGAATAGGTTTTCATGCTCAGAATACTTTGTTTTCTAAGACTGGAAAAGTCTTAGGTGTTCGGTCCATGTATAAGCACCATTTAACCTTTAAAGTATTCCTTAGTTATTGTGGAAAACTAAAGTGCTAATATATTATTTTAATCGTACCGTGTTCTTGAAATGTCTTAATTAGGCTTCCTTATTCTATTGTTGGTTGTTATTTATACAAAATAATAAATTAAATTATACAAAATAATAAAATAAATGACCTATTCTATTAAAGTGGTGGAGTATGATTACATAAACACAGATGGACGTTATGCTGCAATAAAAATTTGTCTCATGTATGTAATAATCTGCATTCTAGGTTCAATCTGACACAGCACAAAACTATACCATATACTATTCCATAAGAGGTCCTGGAGTTGACCAAGAGCCTCTAAATTTATTTTATGTGGAGAGAGATACTGGAAACCTGTATTGTACTCGTCCCGTAGATCGTGAGCAGTACGAGTCTTTTGAGGTAAAATCTAAAAGTTATGTACTCTATTAGTAGTGATTAAGCTTGTCCATTTTGTGTATCATTCTAAATTCATTTACCCTTTCCTGTTTTCTGAGTTGGTGACTGATGCTCTGACTATGTCTGATAGCACAAAATTGACTTGAAACAAAAAGAAATTTCATACAATAAACATTAGATTCTATTAGATGGTTCCTGGTTTTATAGTTTTACCATTTTTTTCCCCAAAGAAAAAAGATTACTACTTTGAAGAACAGTTATTTAGTTGGCAGAAAAGATCTATGACCCTCATTATGGCACAGAGACACCATAGGAGGTAAATGAGGTTCAGAATGCTGAAATTTTGTTCCATGTGTGTAATATCTATGTTCTTGGTTCTAGGAGAAAATTAACTTATGGTGAGCGGGTAAGGGGTGTGGACAGTGCTCTAAGTTTGTTCAGTTCTTCAGTCATCTGGTTAGCTGCCTATGGTGGAATGTGAGTTAATGTGTAAGAATTTAGCCTAATGCTAGTTTGGTTTTCCAACAGAACCTGGTCTTTTTGCTTAGCTCTTAATTATTTTGCATCTATTTGGACGAATTAATCATCAGAAGACTAAATTAATCAAATAGATAAGCAAGATTTGAATAATACTTAGGTTTAGAATTATTATAACATGGCCTTCCAAGTACCTGTGATTTTCTGCTCTTTCTATAATAGCTATTTTGAGAAAAACTAAAATTGAAATTCGTATTATCAAATCAAAAGAAGCCGGGCTCGGTGGCTCAGCCTGTAATCCCACACTTTGGGAGGCCAAGGTGAGTGGATTGCCTGAGCCCACAGTTTCGAGACCTGCCTGGGCAACTTGGTGAGACCTCATCTCTATGATAAATCAAAAAATTAGCCGGGCGTGGTAGCGCGTGCCTGTAGTTCCAACTACTTGGAAGGCTGAGGCAGAAGGATCGCTGGAGCCCAGCAGGTCGAGGCTGCGGTGGCCAGGAACGTCCACTGCACTCCATCTAGGTGACAGAGTGAGACTCTGACTCAAAAATAAATAAGTAAATAAAAATAAAAATAAATAAAATCAAAAGAAAGAAATTATATTCCACATTAAAAAATGTAGTCACTCACTTGTTCTATTTCTAACTCCCTCTTTTTACATTTAAAAATTCTTGTTAAAAGAATTTAACCCTTGGGAGGCCTAAAGTCCAATTAGTGAAAAATAAGATAATATCCCAGTTGATTCCACCTAGAGATTTTGTAATTGTAAGGAATCCAAAGTTAAGAAAGATCCAGAAAATTGTATTTGAAATTCATGTACCTGGAACTTTTAAATAAAACAAAACAAAAGGTCATCAAGCTGTTTTTAGAAAATAGAAGTAAAAATAAAAACTATGAACAATAAAGCAATAGTGAAGAAACTGAAATTACCTTTGCTATTACATTAGATAAATTTAAACATATAATGCTGTACTACACTCTGTTGGTATTAAAGTTATATCCACATCCAAAAATGATAACAAATGGTGAGATTCACTTCAGTGCTGAACAGACTCCAAATTAAGAAAGTTTTAACCATGTCTTGATTTAAGATGTTATTTTTATTTTCTCGTTCTTTTACTCTCTTCAGTTAGTTGCATTTGCAACAACTCCGGATGGATATACTCCAGAACTTCCACTGCCTCTACTAATCAAAATAGAGGATGAAAATGATAATTACCCGATTTTTACAGAAACAACTTACATTTTTACAGTTTCTGAAAATTGCAAAGTTGGTGAGTACCTACTTTAACAATATATGGCAATGTGAATGTGTTTCAGTTCATAAACTGAGTCTCACCTATGGCTATTGGTGGTGAGAACAAGGGACACTGAGTTAAATTTTACTCTGTTTTTCACTAGCTGTGTGACCCTGGGCAAGTTTCCTAATCTTGGCAAGCCTTAGTTTCTTCATCTGTAAAATGGGTTATTAAAATGCCAGATTGTCATGAAGATTAAATGAAGCATAATACACATAGCATACCAAGCACAGTGCCTGAAAAATAGGGGTTAATAAATGCTACATTGCCTTCCTATGTGAGGTAAAATAAATATTTTAAAGAGAACATGGGCCAGGTTGGGTGCGGTGGTTCACATCTATAATCCCAGCACTTTGGGAGGCCAAGGCAAGAGGACTGGTTGAACCCAGAAGTTCAAGACCAGCCTGGGCAACATGGGGAGACTTCAGCTTTACACACATAAAAATTTTTTTAAAAATTAGCTGGTATGGTGGCACATGCCTGTAGCCCCAGCAACTTGGAAGGCTGAGGAGGGAGGATCACTTGAGCCCAGAAGGTGGAGGCTGTGGTGAGCCATGATTGTGCCATTACATTCCAGCCTGGGCTGAGAATCTGACTTAAAGAAGGAAGGAATGAAGGAAGGGAGGGAGGGAGGGTAAAAGAGAACATGGTCCAAAAATGAGTCTTTGACTAATCAGAGACTTAGTATTGAAGGCATCTACTGATGTTCTATATTGATTAAATGATTGACAGTATTCTAAGTATGATCATTAAAGTCACTGAGAATAATACAAATATTTCTTAACCCTGTGAAAATGATTTATGTTCGCTGGCAGTTAGAATGCTATTTTTGAGACTTCTCTAGAAAGGTCTAACTGAACCAAAAAAAAAGTTTAAAGAAAACAAATTTAAGTACAGACACAAATAGAAAAAGGTTAAACAATAATTAGAATTCTTTAGTCTAAAAATACAAAGGTCATAGAGGGATAGTATCAGCATATAAAATCGTACATTAAATACAGGAAATAGGGGTGTGATCATGAAATTCCAAAATATTAGAATACTAGGATATTTAAAAGTAAATGATACTTTATGTGGAGGTCTACAAAGTTACCAAAGCCATGATTCAGATATATAATAATGGGCCGGGCTCCGTGGCTGAGCCTGTAATCTCAGCACTTTGGGAGGCCGAGGCGAGTGGATTGCCTGAGCCCACGGGTTCGAGACCCAGCCGGGTAACTTGGCAAAACCTCGTCTCTACAATAAATCAAAAATGAGTCGGGCGCGGTAGTGTGCACCTGTAGTTCCGGCTATTTGGAAACCTGAGGATCGCCGGAGCCCATTGGTCAAGGCTGCGGTGGCTGGGAGTGTGCCACTGCACTCCAGTCTGGGCAACAGAGTGAGACTTCAACCTGCCTGGGCAGCGAAACCTCATCTCTACAATAAATCAAAAAACCAGCCGGGCGTGGTAGCGCAGGCCTGTAATTCCGGCTACTCGGAAGGCTGAGGCGGAAGGATCGCCGGAGCCCAGCAGGTCGAGGCTGCGGTGGCCGGGAGCGGCCACTGCACTCAGTCTGGGCGACAGAGTGAGACTCCGACTCAAAAACGACAACAACAACAAAACAAACCAAAAAACCCAACAACCAAACAGATATATAATAATGTATTCCAGAACTTTTGAAGGTGGATAGCGGGGAGTAAAATACAGGCAAATTTGAAAATACGACAGTTTTGGAAATTAAAGAGGACTTTTCTTCTGTAGGTTCTACTGTGGGACAGGTCTGTGCAACTGACAAAGATGAACCTGACACGATGCACACGCGCCTAAGGTACTCTATCATTGGGCAGGTGCCAGCATCACCCACCCTGTTTTCTATGCATCCAACTACAGGTGTGATCACCACGACATCATCTCAGCTAGACAGAGAGGTAACATAAATATTAATAAGTAATAACTTGATGATGGCATGACTATTTAATAGGACCTGTGTTTTTGAAAAGCATGTTGTGAATCTACTTTTTGAAAAATTATTAAGTATGTTAATGGAGGTCATTAAATATCTTTGGAGAGCAACCCCCTCAGGTCCCCTCCCACTGTGGGAGCTTTTCTGTCCTCTCAATAAATCCTGCTTTAAAAACAAAACAAAACAAAAAGCAACTTTGAAGTGTCCTAATTTAGAACTACTAATTGAGTCCCTCCTGAATTGTACATTTTATACAACTAAATTTCCTAATATGAACATATAGTATTAAGGATAGAAAATGTCAAATGTGAAAAGTGAACCTTTTGGGCAAGTGCAGAAATTTGTTGTCTACAGAAAAAAAGTACTTCTTTTTTGAGTCAGAGTCTCACTCTGTCACCCAGGCTGGAGTGCAGTGGCATGCTCACGGCCATCCTCAGGCAATCCTTCCACCTCATCCTTCCAAGTAGCTGGAAAGACAGGTGCATGCCACCACGCTCAGCTAATTTTTTGGTTTATTGTAGAGACGAGGTCTCACTATGTTGCCCAGGCAGGTCTCGAATTCGTAGGCTCAGGGAGTGTTCTTGCCTCAGCCTCCCAAAGTGCTGGGATTACAGGTGTGAGCCACTATGCTTGGCAATGTCATCTTTTCTTTTCTTTTTCTTTTTTTTTGAGTTGGAGTCTCACTCTGTCACCCAGACTGGAGTGCAGTCGCCGCTCCCAGCCACCGCAGCCTCAACCTGCAGGGCTCCGGCGATTCTTCCGCCTCAGCCTTCCAAGTAGCTGGAACTACAGGCGCGCACTACCACACCCGGCTAATTTTTGATTTATTGTAGAGATGAGGTCTCACCAAGTTACCCAGGTGGGTCTCAAACCCGCGGGCTCAGGCAATCCACTCATCTCAGCCTCCCAAGGCGTGGGATTACAGGCTGAGCCACCAAGCCCGGCTTGCAATGTCATCTTTTCAATACTCTTATCTACATTCTTTTATGGAATAGAAAGTCTATATCTGTCTAGTTTCTGGTTTCCCATTTTCTTTTTTGAGTAGGAGTCTCACTCTGTTGCCCAGGCTGGAGTGCAGTGGCACGCTCATGGCCACTGCAGCCTCTACTCACTGGGCTCAGGTGATCCTTCCACCTCAGCCTTCCAAGTAGCTCGAACCACAGGCGCGTGCCACCACACCTGGATATATTTTTAAAATTTATTGTGGAGACAAGGTCTCACCAATTTGCCCAGGCTGGTCTCAAACCCCTGAACTCAGGCAATCCTCTCACCTCTGCCTCCCAAAGTGCTGGGATTACAGATGTGAGCCACCA